CCATTTGTTATGGTGTCTTAAGTCAGCCACCTCAACAACTCCCCTGGTCTCCAGCCAGGAATAAAAGTGCTGAAGGAAATCAGGCCACGGTAATTTCCCCAAACCCCAGAGCTAACATGCATGGCAATTAATTAATTTAGTGGGGAGAGGTTTTTTTTTCTGCTATGAGCTCTCCCAGGGGCTGCCACAATAGCCCATCTCCTTGGCGGTCATCCCATGGCTTTAATCATGTGTCCCACACAGCTCTGCAGGAAAATTCAGCAGAAATGTTTCCAGCATGGTGCCTGAAATTCAGCCTCTGAGGCCCATCTTTCAAAGCAGAAATGTGACCTGAAGAAGCGGATGAAGCCGTGGTGCTGCTGGGCTGCAGTGTCTCTGGATTTCACGAGGTCAGGACAAGTCCCACCACACACTGGATTCTTGGTGCAAGAAACAGCACAGCATGCTAAGGCTTGGAGCCTTTTGGGGCTAATTATTTGTTTTAAAAGAAAAGAAAACATCCAAGTCTGGGGCTTGTGGTTAATAAAGAGCTTGTAGGAGCAAAGTTCATTTTCCCTAGAGTTGTTTTAGTTGTGGAAGAACTTCAAGAGTTCTTTCTCCAGCTTCCTTGAATTTGTCATTGAAAGTTGCCTGAATTATGCCCACAAACATCTTTAAATCTGATCACAGATGGAGCATAAATGCCATGTTATTGAAGTTGAAGGACACAGCTTACTTTCTGGGGAATAATACACAGGAGGAAGCTGATACAGAATTACGAGGATCATTCTTGTTTTGTTTTCTTTTAGCCATGTTTCCTTCAAAGCTTCCATCCGCAGCACAATACTCACCCACCCCCGTAACTAATTCATTATTTTACAGCAAGTAAAATCAAACAGGAGACAAATGATTGTTGTTTAGTGCCATCAGTTTCAATGGCTTTGCACAATATTTGAGTCATTGGCTCTCGCCTTGCTTTGGAGGAATCCCAAATCTGGATGAATCTACGCGCATTATAAACCATCCATGGGGCCAGACCAGGCCTGCCTAACAGATGGAGGTCCATATGCTTTGGCTCTGCACCCATATGGAACACTAATATGCAGTCCAGGAATAGAGCATGCCTCTTCTCCTCTTCCTAGCAATCTCCAACCCAAAGTTGTTTCCAGGCACAAGCCGAGTTAAGCAAGTTCATCTGGAAGCAGTGCAGCAAGACACCGCGAGACTGGTGCTCCAAGCACGTCATTTTCCTTGCTCTGTGGCTCCTGCTGAAGCCTAAATTGCAACATCTTCTAGAGAGTGGTGTGTGAGGCTTTCCAGAGCACCGGTTAAAACCCTCATTAGGCTGCTCTAATGTGCTTTAACCTCTGCTGCCTGGGTCGTGCGAGAACACAGAGTGCTCCACCAGCCCTCCACGGAGCAGCTTCTCCAGGCAACCAAGCCAGCAAATAGCTGAGGATATTTCACAGTGCCTGGGAGGCTTTGTTTGCTGGAGGCACAGGATTAGTGTCAGATGGCCTGCCACCATCTCAGCACAGGGGGACTTAACTTTTATTGCTGGCAGTGTTCCTCCAGCAGAGCCACGGGTTTGTTCTGGCTGGGCACTTTGGGAGGGGACAACAGTCCTAGCTGCTTTTTGCTGTTCAAGGACAGTGTTTTTTCCTAATCCATGCTCAAACTCTGTGCTTTTGCCTGGATACAATCAATAGATTCTGCTCACTTCTATTTTGAGCATGAGAGCAGTAAATTCAGTGCCTGCCCTGTGCAGCCTTCAGCCTGGACAGTTCGGTATCTCCTTTAGGATGACATCTCCCTGATTATCCCTGGGGTCTGTCCTCCTCTGCCTGTGCCTTCTTTAGGGGCTGGAGATGGCTGAAGGTTCCTTCATTAACCAATCTGGAGATATTTCCATCCATGTTGTTACTTCACACCTGTTCTCAGCTCATGCACCAGGTCTTGAGGGCATCACAGCAGGAAGGGTCGGTGTGTGCTGATCCTGGTTTTTGCAGGGGCATGGGTAGATTTTCTGGGAGATGATGTTAAGCAGCCAAATGCACCTGCCTGCAGCTGGGCTGTGAAGGGAACAGGCCTGTGACAGCTTTGCTCATGCATTGGGCAGGTTTGATGAGCAGGAATTCCTCAAACAGGAGTTATTCCAGCTGGAAAAGGAGCTGACTGCTGAATGCCTTGATGTTGCTAATACTGGGAGAGAAGTCCACCCTCTTGGGTGGATGATGATTTTTTTTTATTATCATTCAGGTCCCTGTCCAAGGCCTTTCTCAGTGATTTCCTTGCCTACAGGGGTGATGTGCACCTATCTGGGGGGCACAAATGCAGTCCATTCCCTGCTGCTGGTGGTGTCCACAGTGAGAAGATGACCCAATGAAGAACTTGGACTTGAGTATTACTGGAGTTGCAGACAAGATTTGCCAGCTCAGAGGTGCTCAGTTGTTTTCACAGAGAAAAATAAGATTATGTAGCAGTGAAGAAGAGGAAGGCTAGAAAGCATTTGATGTGGTTAAAAGGCAGACCCCAAAATGAAATTCTACTGTCTGGTGCTGAGGGTGATAAGGTAACACATAGAGATTAAAACACATGCTAATAAACCATTCATAAATGTGAGAAACCTAAAAATTAAAGCAACCAAAGAGCTGAAAAGTGTATGGTTTGACAAAGCATTACACTGGTGGCCGTGGTTATGTGCCTGGTTTTACCTCCTGACATTGTGGGGCACCCTGGAGGGAACCAAATCACTTTCCTGCTGTCCCCTGTGGGTCTCTTAAAGCTTTAAGCTTTAATCTCCATAGTTTCAAGCCTCTCTAGCATGAAATTGGATTGTTTAAATTTTGAAAAGGGGTGGTGGATAAAAACACCAAACCAATATCTATGTTATCATTTGTAGATGGTGTAACCTTTTTGAGACTGTTTTGCACAAAATTAAAAATGAATTTGTTTTGGGATCAACTGAAATAATTTGTATCATTTGAGACTGTCTGGAGTGTTCAGGGTTATTCCCAAGAAGCATCCAAAATGCAGTGTAAAAATGCAAACAAGTTTCATTACACCTTGAATACAAAATACTGTGTCTTTCTGGTTTGCGAGATTGGTGTCTCAAAAAAAAAAAAAAAGTTTTTTCATAGGGCTGAAGAAACCCCTCAGGCACCTTGAAAAGAAATTAAAAGGTAATTTGAATCACAGTGAGTATTTGCACTTTGCTCACTAATTATCTGGGCTGGGACTGAAGCAGAGGGTTGGTTATTGACCTGCAGCAAGTCCTGGCTGGTGGAGAGTTTGGGGGAAGGGGAAGAACTCCATTCCTGTCCTGTGGGGCTGGGAGGGAGGGCAGCCCTGCCTGGAGAGGGGCTGGGAAGCAGCCAGGGGCTGCTGTGCTGCAGCTCAGAGGAGCTGCTGCAGCTCAAATCACCCCAGCAGCTTTGAGCAAGGCAGTGCAGGTATTAATGATAAAGGATGTTGGCAGTGGAGCCTGCAGACTCTGCAGTTTGACCAGAGGAGATGTGCTTGGTGTCAGGGCCAGACATGGCATGATGTCCCCCAGGAGAGCAAGAGCCATGCCTATATATATATATATTTATATTTATATATATGTGTATCTGCCAAAGCTGTGGCAGACTCCAAGGCTGGGATGTAACCCAGCAAACCAAGGATAAAATGAAAAGACAGCTGGGCTTCTCAGTTTGGTGTGGGAGCAGGGAACACACAGCCCTCATCCCCAGGCTGTTGGACCTGGAAGATGCCCCAGGGGCACAGGGTGAGGAGAACACTGTGTTTGGCCAGAACTGTGTTTGGCCAGCAGCATTTTTCAGAGCATTGTCCCAAAAAGCCCCAAACTCTGGGCTTAGCCAGTTGGAGACTCAAGTGTTCCTCTATTTTTCAAGTTTAGGTCGCTTCTTACCACCCAGGGGCCTTTTGGCACAAATGTGGCATGGGAGGGAGCTCCCCATCCCAGAGCCACCATTTTGGAGCAGCCTCAGGGCTGGAGGGAGTGCTGGGATGGAGGAGGAAGAGCAAGGGGAGCTGCTGCTGCCATTTAGAGCAGTCAACACATCCATGGTGCGACACCTGCACCTCTCCCTGAGCAGCATCAATGCTCTCTTCTGTTTCACTCCTGATGACAGAAGAGCCTTAATTGGGCATGAAGAAATCCATCAAGCAGCAGCTTGGTGCAGCTGCTGGGTCCCCACAGCATCTGGCAGCTGCTGTGATGCTCCAGGGCTGGTGGCTGCCCCAAAATAGCCCAAAAATCATCCACCCACCCCAATCCGGATCTCTGTTCCTGCTGCTCATGAACAGCACAAGGGCTTTATGGCTCACTGGGGCTTGGTGGAGCCAGGTCCCACCTATTTGCTGGAAACTGAGATGATAAATTATGTTTCCAACCTGAGGAGCCGCTCAGAGAACCAGACCAGAGGGCTTGACACAAAACACTAAAGCAAGGAGGAATTGTTGGTTGTTTTTTGTGCATATAAACACAGCAGAGACCAGCCTGCACGGCAGCAAGGTGAAATGGGAGCTCAGCCAGGGATTTCAATAGCTGCAGGGTCTTGCTCATGGTTTAATGCATTTTTACAACGGGAGTGGAACAGGACCCATTCTGGGAATAGAAACATCACCAGCAATTTCATCCCCCTGAATAATTTGCTTATAACTCGCCTGTGCTTTGATGCAGCAGCTGCTTCAAGAGCACCAGAAATAAAATCCCTTCTCCCATCCCCTTTTCACCCCCTGGCACACCCTTGTTGTGGTGCTGCAGCTTCAGCTCCAAAATCTCTGTAGGCACAGAGAGAACATCCTGATGGCTTTGGATGTCTCCCTGGCACAGCCCTGACACCCACCCCACGTGGGCAGACAAGCCCAGCCTTCCCCTCTCCTGCACAGGCCAAAGGGCTGCAGGGTCTCCCCATTTAATCCCACAGAACTTCATGGTCTTGTCTCCCCTCTTGCCCTTCTATTTGATGAGAATACAGAATTAAAAAAAACCAAAACAACTGCACATTTATTTAATTTCCTCTACTTTTATTTAAAAAGAAGGTTTGCTAACAGCAATCAGTACCATGGCCCAGGCCCCTCAATACAACAGTTGGCTTCAGCAGTCCCTGCAGCTCCAGTCCTGCTCTGTCCCTCCCCCTGTGATGGGGACAAACCTGGGAATTATCTGGCTTTAAGAACCACTCCTGAATTCGGGGAAAGCTCCCTGGGATCGCAGATTACTTCCATCCTCCAGTTTCTCTCTCTGTCTCTTTCTGTCTCAGCTTAAGCTGAGGTTCACAGCCAGGCTTAGCTTTATTGTGGAACTAAAGTAAAGTAAAAATAATATGCAGGAAAAAAAAAAAAGGCACCGGGTTTAAAAAAAAAAAAAAAAAGACATGAAAGAAATGATTTTCTGGTGCTGGAAAGAAACATCCCCTCAGTGGCAGATTAGCCCACATTTATCCACTATAATGTTGCTTATACCTTAATCTTAGCCATCTTCATCTGACACTAATTAGCAGGCTGGAGGCTCCTATGGGTACAGTAGCTTCTACGGACCAAAACATGAAAGTGAGCTCTTCTTTTTACCACTTGAAGCACTCAGCTTTTAAAGAGACAATGTCAAGTATTTCAGCCCCAAACTGTACACTTTTTAACTTAAAAAACACAGCAGCAGGAGGAGGCCCAAAGGTGATGATACCCAGCCACGGCAGCAGTGAAGTGCGTGCCTGAGGTCTGCCTGTGCAGTGTTATTTACTCTCCCACAAATTAAACCCAAACAGCCCTCACTGAACCCTGGACTCACCTGCATTCTGGCACTGAGTGCTAATTAGGAGACAAACAGAATAGGCCACAGAGGCAGAAAATGAAACAGAATCATCAGATCAATCTAGTTGCTTCCTTCAAAACCCCCGAAAATCAGAGAAAAGCAAATGTAGTTATAAAAAATTCTTTATGTTTTGGGTTCTGTCTGGCAGGGAAAAAAAAAAAAAGGAAAAGATTATTTCTATGATGTTCATCACTAGGCAAGCATCCCATCAAGATCCATCTGACATCCTATTTAACTGTTGGGAGTGAGAGATAATTAGGGCTTGAAAGGACTGACAGAGTGGGACTCCAGGAATTCAGCACTGTGTGCTGGTTCTTTGGGGAGAAACTGAAAATAAATTATTTAGACTTGAAAAAGTCCCTTGAAGTCCTGTGCTCTTTCTGCTTGGCTGGGTCTAGGCCTATCCTACATATTTCAGCAGATTTTGGAGGAGGAAAGAAGGCAGGCTGCTTAGCAGGGAACAGTTGGGAATTTGAGGAATTAGAGCTGGATATACTTATGGTTCTCACGAGCCCTGACAGATGCTGGGTGTCCTTGTGACACAGTGAGACTGCTCAATACTAATGGTGCTGCTTTGTGGCAGCAAAGCCCCTTCCTGTGACATTCCAGCATCTCTGCTCCTCAGAAAAGGAAGAGAAACACATCCTCACCATCCCCATGGCCCTCACATGTGTGTCACTGGGATCAGCTCAGCTCTGCTCCCTGCCACCTCCTGCAGACCCAGCTGCTTCCCCTGTGCTCACTCTGTGTTTGGAAGGATCTGGTCCCTGCGGAGCAGGAGCCGGGTCCCGCTCGGTGCCGCGGGGCCCTGGGCTGTGAGAGCCACCAACAAACCTTCCCTGCCCACCCCGCTCCCTGCCCCTTCCCCTCCCCGCCACGAGCACGGGGCCAAGGACGCGCCTCGGCCGAACAAACTAACTACCACCCTCGGACCAGTCACGACAAACGGCTCACGTTTACCCATCACCTAACACACCCTCAGAAACCAAGGCCACCCTCGCGCCCTTCCCACGCGAGGCACACACCCTGCGAGTCCAGCAAGCCCCACGGCAAGGGGGTCTTGCCCAGGCCAGCCCTGTGAGGCGCTCCCGCGTCCCTCCTGCCCCGTCCCTTGGTGAACACCGAACAGTTATAACACTCAGGTCAATATATATAGGTACCACGTAGATATATTTGTGTCGCTGTCCTGCGCGCGAACGAAGAACGACCAACCCCGCCAGGCAGCGCTCGCCCTTTCTGCCCCCTCCCCTTCCTCCCGTGGCTGTGCAGGAACGTGCCCGGGGACCACCCTACGTGGCCCCGTCGCACTCCCCCACAGTCAGCTTCAAGGCTCCTTGCTGGTGCAGCGTCTTTAAGGCTTTGAACTCCAAGGGCATGGTGTGCGGGCTGGCCTGCGAGGTGTAGCCGTACTTGAGGCTGTCGTAGTAGTGGTACTTGACAGGGTTCTGGTTCTGGTCCAGGGGAAAGGGCCAGAAGCCGTAGAGATAGATCTGGTTGCAGAAGCGGGTGGCCAGGGTGTACATGAGGAGGCCGGTGGTGGGTCGCTTGATGTGCACCTTGTTGGTCAGCCAGTACCTGCAGAGGGACAGTGGAGCCTGTTAGTCACCCCGCACACCCTGCACACCCAGCTCCTGCCCTGCACCTTTCTCTCCCCAGCCTCTCACTGAGATGCACTGGTGATTCAAAGTGAGAGGATTCTGACTGGCGGAGTTCTCCATGCCAAGAAAAAGCCTCTCTAGGGACTGCATCCTCCTGCTCTCTGTCTGCTGGTTACATCACACTTGTTGCCATGGCACTGAAGCATCTCATGCCTCGACAATCCTTTATGAAAAACAAATTGCTTGCAACAGTGGCCTTCGGTACTTCAGCCTACAATTATCTTCCAATCAACCCTGGAGATCAATACCACAGACCAAAGCATCCACATGTCAAGTAGACTCCAACAACCCCTCGAAGCAGACACAGTCAAACACATGCTGATGGCTTTCATTGATGAATGAAGATTTTACTCTGACAGCAAACACGACAGGGCTAGAAAAACATCTGCCTTGGAACAAAGGGTCACCAGGCTGAAAGGGCTAAAATGCACTGCTGAGTTCCCATTACACCCAGCGACTGCTGCTGTGATCCTGGACCAAGATACATCACCACACTCGGCAGCATGAGTCCATCAGACACACAATATGGCACACTGCAACAGAAAATGTGAGATATGGAGGTCAGCTGTGCTCGCTGCTGGGTAACACGTTCATTTTTATGAGGGATGGCAAAAAGAACAGGGGAAGCATGTAGGGATGTAGTGATGCAACAGCAGAAATGGTATCAGCTGTGGTATTTTGGGCTGCTGATAAAAATTATTGCAGAATCAATAAGAAGATGTTTCCACTGAGCCATATTTATTGCAAAAGCAACTTATCTGGTTCGCTCAGGAAAACACTGTCAAGAGGAGCAAAATCAGAAAGCAAAATGTTTGGGGAGGTAGAAAATATCCCCATCAGGCACACTCCCTCCTCCCCAGCCTGTCTGATGCCAGCACTGCCCAGAGCAGGCAGCACATCCCGCTGTGCTGCAGCCTCTCTGAGCCCTTGGATTATTTTTAACAGGCGAGTGACTGGCAGCACCTTGGACAAAAGGCACGAGGAAGCAGAGCAGAGCCCTCACCAGATGTCTGGGATCCTGAGGTGGGTCCTGCAGTGGCAGTGGAGCCCCAGGAAGTGCCTTGCTCCTCATTCGCACTTTCTGCTGGGCTCCTGAGGGTCTGGTGCTCAGACAGCAGGAACCCTTGGGAGAGCTGAGCCTTAATCCTGCAAATTAGCTTTTCAAGAAAGCCATTAAAATTTAGCAACCGAGGCACAAAACGTGCTTGCTTGTTCTCAGCCAGATAAGAGAAAAAATTGACTTTTGTGGCAAATCAGATTCTGGAGGCAGAGTGACCGCCCCAGCATATGCAGGAAGGGCACAGGGACAGTTTTTTGGGGTGCCACATCCAGGGGTGTTCAAGGGGGCTTTAGCAAAGGATGCATATGATGTTTTGGGAAGGAGGTCTTTGCCTGGCTCATGTTAGCATCCAGCACAAAAAAAAAGAGCAAAAACTGGGGGAAAAGCAGTATCATCAGCATTTTCTGTGCTTGCCCAGCCACAGGGCTGTGCTGGGGGGACCCAGCAGAGCTCACTGCAGCCTGATCCCACAGGTAGCCATAAAGCAGACTCCTTGATGAGTTTATGGGTAAGCACATTAGACCCCCTGTGTGCAGAGGGAAATGGGAGATCATCACAACCATTTAACACTGTGAATTAGGGTCTCCTCATGCAGCAGGGAAGCCACCTGGGAAGAACTGTCAAGTCATATTAACCAGCTGGCTTTGAGGGAGGACAATTGTCAGGGTTTGTCCTGCAGCTGCTTTAGCCTCAAAACTCTCCTTTCTATCAATTTACCAGCTGGAGTACACAGAAAAATAATGGTGACCTTTTGCCCTCCCAAAATACTGACTTTTGTGTTGAGAGGCTGTAAATACTCTACGAATATCCAAGGATCCTGACAGCAAAAGGAAATTATTCTTGTACAGAGGCACAGGCCATTCATGTGACCACCAGTTTCATGCATTTTAACAAGGATAAAAATGACCTGGGTCAGACAGTGAAGCACCCTATAGATACATGCTGCCCTCCAGCACACACAAAAAACCTTACCAATCCCAACAAATGTGCACAAGCCACCACCCAAACCAGCCCTACCACAACCAACCCAGTGTATCCACCTCACCAAAGGCAGCTTGTGAGCACTCACTGGTAATACTGGGGTAGGGAACACTGACAAGTCATTTTTTTAATAATGAAAATTAAAACCTGGCTCTTTTGTCTGTATTTCCCTTTGTTGCAGGCAGGGTATTGCAAAAACCTCACTCATGCAGCATTATGAATTCTCAATGCAGCTTTGAGAGGGGGTGAGGGACTCCAGGCTGCCCCAAACCACCCACATGGATGACATAACATAACACATAATGCCCAACCCATAAAAGAGGCCATGCCACAGCTCCTGCAATTTGTTTCCTGGACAGTGAAGGTGGAAAATCCTCTGGTGAGGTCTGGGAAATACTTTTTAATGACTGGTTTGTGATGGGAGTCTCAGAACTATGCAAGACCTTCCTCTCATCTCTCCCACCACTGTCCAGCTGAGACAGCAGCCACAACCCTGGCGCAGGAGAGAACAGCTGGGGATGGAAATAAAACCTAATTAATTCTGTAAATCCAAATGAGGTTGTCTGGGCGCACATGGGATGCTGTGTCAACAGCACACCTTTAATATGTGAGGTCCAGGATTTTAATTAGGAGGAAAGATAATCTCGAAGCAGGCAGTAATTATTTTTCAAACTGGCTACACCAATCACCATAACTATTAACTGCAACATTTTATGGAAAGAGACAGCAATTAAAACAGAAGAGCAAAGAGCAGTCTTGAAACCCAACACCTCTGTTCTAAGAGCTGTTCTCCCAGTGAGGAGCTGGTACTGTGTCTGCAAATAAACCCTCAGGAGGGGATGCAGCTCCTGAGATAGGCAGCAGCCTGAGCAGGATGTGGCTCAGAACAGGAACCATGATTCTGTCAGGGAAAAATTGCCTGAGACAGCTCTGGTTTCAGATGATGATAGTGACAGATGGAAAATGCCATCAGATCTTCAAGGCCATCGTTTGTAAGGAGGCAGCCTAGACACAAGCCCCAACACTTTCTTGAAATGAGACGTAAGAAGAGCAGCTCAGAGGGTCTCACCCTACAGCTGGGAGATGGTTCTGGTTGCTTCTCATCTCCCAATCCTCAACTGGGGATGATCAGAAGTCTCCTAAGCAGAACTGGTGCCAGGTGCCTCTGGTGAGGAGGCTGCTCTGCAGCCACAGGGGAAGAATCTGCTGTCCTGGGACCTCAAAGCCCAGGGAATCCTGCAGGAGGCAACACTGACACTGCCCCTAGGCAGCCACAGCTGCCACAGGAGCCAGGGAAGGTGGCAGCCTCCCCACTGCACATCTGGAGCACGAGCTCCACCACACTGAGAGTGCTCATCCTCCCCAGCATCACTGAATGTGGGGAGAAGAGCCTGGCCTGCATTTGGGCTGGGTGCAGAACTGCTCCCTGCAGGCAGCATTCAAGGACTGCTAGAGAGGGCAGGGTTCTGCTCTCTGCTTACCAACCACCTCCTGGAATGCCTGAGAAAAACCTAAAATAACTTGTACCCTCCTGGTAAGGGTTAACCCACAGGATAAAATTAACAGAAAATCCATTGCCCTCATGAAATGAATAAAAGACATAGGTCAATGAAGAAATCAAATTTCAGCAGTATCAGCTGCATTATTTCATGATACAAATCAGAATAGCTGAAATAATGCAATTTCGGACTCTTTTTAAAAAGCTAATTCATAAAAGGGCGATATAAACACAAGCTGTTGTGGAGGTGCTGGTCCTTGGGTGGCAGCAGTGTGTTATTATAAGTGTGCCACACACACCCTGCTCCAGCAATACCCAGGAAAAGCCAGACACAGATAACAGAGAGAGTGCCCTGACTGATGGTGCAGGGAGGACAGGAGCTGCTGGGGCTGGCAGGGGACAGAACCCAGTGCTGGGTGGAGATAAAGTGCTGGAGCCCAGAAAGCAGCTGATATCCCCCATTCAGCTTCTTCCAGCCCTTTTTCTGTCCAGGTATGGAGTTTCCTCTGTCACCTCCACCAGAACAGCCGAGAGCCACGAGCAGTGATGAGAGCTGTGCTGGAAAAGCAGGAATGGGCATGTCCCCATCCAGATGCCAACACTGGCTCCAAAAACTGCACCTGGTGTCAGCTGGGCTTTATCCAGAGGCTGGGCAAAGCCCAAACACCAAACCCAGCCTCCCTGTCTAGACTGGATCCAGACCATGTAGCCTGGTTCTGCTTTTGGTGACTTGGCACAAGGAAATCAGCTCTGAGACACAGATAAAAAACTCTCTTCTCCTCCAGATCCTGAGCTGTGATGCTTTTTCAAACACATATGGTATTCAACACCCTCAAGTTAAAGCTTTTCTAAACAGACAAAAAAGGAAAATAATTGAGAATAACCTAACTTCTTTCACCTTTCCTTTCTATGCCCCTTCACTTCTTTTGAAAAAGAAAAGACTGAATCTTCCAGATTAACAGGAACAAATTAACTCTCTTGGGCCCCCAGTGCAGACACACCACAGCTCGGGTTCAAGGTGCCTGAAGTGCAGAAGAGGAGAGGATAATAGCTCACACAAGGACTTTTTCTGCAGGATATCCACTGATCTAACCCACACATGGCTTTATGGGTGTTCACAGTTCCCCCTCACATCCCACTCCAGTCACACATGTGTGAATGGCTGTTGTCTTTCCCTACACCCTCTGGACATTTTCCCTCACCTGAGTGCAGGACCAAAGTCCTTAAACCATTTGTTTAATGTTCAGGGGAAGGGCTTTAGGCACAAGACCCCAGTGCAGTTATTTCAGAGGAGCCCCTGTAACCATGAAGCTCCTTCAGGGAGGAAGCATGAAGCAGCTGCTTTAGAAAACCCACAAGTGGGTGATGCTGGACACAGCAGAACTAGTCCTGAGACAGAGGGTGAGAAAAGCTGAGCTGGGAGGGCTCTGAAACGGAAAAGCAGGGGCTTAGTTTTGATGTGTTAGAGAAAAGCAGAGGCTGTGGAGGGATGCAAGAGAGTGCAGTCAAAGCAACAGGTCAGGAGAACCATCTGCACACACGTCCTCTGTGAGGCAAGTGAGGCAAAGGGGGCTGGAAGGGAGGTGGCACAATGGGGACATGAGGAGAACAGGGAGCAGGCGTGGGCTTCCACCATGAGGGCTCCCACCACAGCTGGATGGGAAAGGCACTGTGCCCCCAAACTCTGAAAAGGTGAAGGCTCAGCCCCTTTGGGTGTGAGGACACCCGAGGCAAAGGTGAATGCACCTCGTGGCTGTCAGGCTGCAGATCTGAGTGCATGTGGCAAGGGACAGTCCTGAAGAGCACACACCAGCTGTCACAGCTGCTTGGATTTAAACCTAACGGGAGACCAAGCCAAGGAGCTGGAAGGTTTATTGATTTTTAATTTTTTTTTTCCTCTCAAGAAGCCCTTAACAAAATCTTATGGGACTGGAATTGGTTACTGCCAAGAGACCCTTGTGATGGACACGGTGAGAAATGCTAGAGCAGATTAGACAAAGTGAAACGTGTCCCTGAATTCGCCACAAGGAGTGACACACAAACCTCCCAACACAATTATTTTCCCTCTCTGCCTGCATTCCATGTTATTTCTCTAACGAAAGCTGCTTGGCAATAGGGATTACAAGGCTTTTTGGAGACACTAACAGGCAACTTCTAAGGGGTTTGCTTGCTCCCCATCCAGGTGAGGAGTGTGGGGCTCGCCAGAGGAATTGCTCAGGGGACATTTTATGAAACCACTGCAAAGTAAGGCATGCACACACCCTGAAACACACAGGAGCTGGCTCCCTGCCACCAAACTGCCCCCCTCTCCAGCCCTGGGGGTGACCTGGCTCCCTTCTGAGCTCCTCCACTGGAATGCTGAAGGCTCTCTCCCCTCCTGGTGAGAGCTGAACAAGCCTTCCACTATCAGCAAACATTTAAAGCACCCTCACAGCTTGAAAGGTGATGTCTCAAATGATGCTGTTAAGGACAACAAAACCAAATGCTTTTTACTTATCTCAGCAATGCACCCTCTACAAATGCCCCAAAATGCACTGAAAATTATAGGGAAAACACTCAATTGCCACTTGAAATGAGTTTTGGTTTGAGGGAAAGCAGAGCAGGACAATAAATACTGTGGTTCAAGGAGAAGTCAAGGGCTCACAAATGTATTTTGCTGGTAGTGGAGAAAGAAAAGGCAACACTTTTGTGGCCAAATTGAAGTTGGCTGAGATGTCAGCCTTTGTAGAAAGTGCTGTTCCTTGGTTAAAAAAAATATAAAGGGGTGCCTTGGGTGAAAAACTTCCCCCATTTCTCATTTCTTTGTGACTTCCAAATCAACTCAGGGTAGGCGATAAAATGTGGTTTTAACTAAAAAGGGAGAAGATGGGACCTCTCTGCAACAGCAGCCCACTGCAGCACAGAGGGATGTGCTGTGGGGCTTTGTGGATTATTCATTCTCTGCTGCACACCTCATGCCACAAAATGTATTTGTTTCACAAATCTCAGATCTGTCAAACAAAAACACAGCGCTATGAACCAGCACAGAGAGAGCTGCAGAGACAGAGGATGTTCTTGGAGACCATACCCTTCATAAGCAAAAATATGGGATGGTCATAGGAGCTGGACAGTGACACGGAAGATGAATAAGTAAACTGCTAGTGATTCTAGATCTGTCAAACAAAAACACAGCGCTATGAACCAGCACAGAGAGAGCTGCAGAGACAGAGGATGTTCTTGGAGAACTCTTCAGAAACAAAAATATGTCATGGTCATAGGAACTGGGTAGTGACACAGAAGATGAATAAGTAAACTCCTAGTGATTCTGGTCCTGAGGAAGGACTCCTTCACCCCAAACCACATCATATCAAGTACTCTCAGCAGATGGTCAAGACAACCCTACTGGTACCTCAGAGACTTCCTACACAGCACCAAGAGCACCAGCCACCTCCCTGAGCTGTGCCCAGTTCATTCAGCTCTGTCTGAATCACTCTCAGATCCACCCAAGTCCACAGCTAAGGAGGCTGCACCAAGGAAAGGGTTAACACTGACTCCAGCCTTCCCCCAGCCCTTCACCCCCCAGCCCTGGGTGACCCCTCTGTGAGCTCCTGGGCCAGGCCACAACTCCAAGGGTCAGTGCTGAAGTGCTCCCATCAGTTCTGGCTTTCCGAGGGGGCTGCACTTTTCATTAGACTAATTGCTAATCAGTAGGCATCCTTGTTTTCCTGCTGATAAGTGTGAGAGCAGGAGGGCAGGTCAGGCAGCAGCTCCCTTGGCTTGGAGGGCAATCCCTGATGGGGATTAGCACTGGCCTCTGTGGTTATAATTGAATTAGTGCTGCCCCTGTGCTGCCAGGAGCCCCCTGGCACTGCCCCCAGCACGGTGACCAGCCCAAGGGACAGCAGGGAGGTCCTGCCTGCATTTCCAGCCAGGACCTTGGGGTCTGCCACCAGCACCAGCCACGTGCTGCTGCCATCCCCAGCACCCCCAGCTCCCCTCAGGGCCCTGCTGCTCTGACTGGCTGCATCCCTCTGAGCCCCAGGAGGCTCTGGGAAGCCCAAGCTCCTTGCACGAGACCCCAGTGAAGTCCATGGTTCCACTAAAACATGTGCAGAAGGAAGACACTGCTCCAAGGCTCTGAGCCCCTGGGCTTCTCCCAAAATCCCTGCAGCTCCTGCAGCCAGGCAGGTCCTGCCAGCCACAGCTGGGGGCTCCAACACTGCTCTGCTGGAGCTGCACAGGGACATCCAGCACAGCCAGCCCAGCTGGACCACAGAGAGGCCAGGAAGATGCTGTGAGCTGGAAGATAAGCCCAGCAGCTGAGCTTATGGAGGCATCCTCCTCTCCCATAGGAAAACGATGCCTAACCCTTGCCAACTCCTCTGCAAAGCTTCCTATGGGAAGTTTCTGGCACTAGGAATGGTTGCCAGCACAGGATTAGCAGCCTGTTGATTTAGAGGGCTTATTACAGGAGCTTAATTCTATTTTGACAGATGAAAGTAAGTTAATTATAGCTAGAAATAGCTCTGAATTTGGGTTGTGGGATTTTTTTTCCTTCATGTCTTCCCCTTCTATGAGTTGTGGTATCATTTCCTTCCCTTTTTTTACCTCAAAGCCAGTGTTTCCTGTGAGGTGCCTCTCTGGCAGATGTGGTACTTGCTCATTATTGCTGCCTGTGAGGCACCACTCCACTCCTCCCAGCCCCTAGAGTCCCTCCTTGGGCTTGCTCCTGGCAGAAATGACCCCAAAACCTGTCCCCTACCCACCCCCAGCACTGACACACCACCTGAGCTGGGACAGGAAACATCCAGCAGGGACCAAGTGACCTGCAGAGCTCAGGCTCAGAGGCGTGCAGGAGAAGTGCCCAAAGAAATCAAGGAACATTAATGCTGAGGCTTAGAAATGGGAGCACCAGCTACACAAGGAAATTGCCATCCTGTGAGATTAACGGGGTCTAGTCAGGATCAGAGGACAACTACTGCCATAAGTCATCTCCAGCAAAAGTCACTGTCTGCCTCAACTCCCTAAATGCCTAAGAATTGTGATCTTCCTAGAGAAATAAAGCACAAAGGCAAGAGCCTACGCCATTCCCAAGTAATTTACATGAAAATCTCACCCCTTGGGCTCTCTTTTATTTTCTTTTCTCTTCCCCACTAAACCTGTGTCTCCTGTACACCTGAAGATGCAGGCAGAGAACAGAAAGACCCTTTCCTTCCCTCAGAGTAAACCCAGTCACCATCACCCTGTTTATGTGACCAGCAGGACCAGACCACCCAGGCTCACACACGAGCTCCCTGCCTTGAGGAGCTGTGTCTGAGCTGTGCCACTGAAGCACAAGGTGACAAATCTCCCTGCTGGCCCAGTGCACACCCTTTTCTCCAAGGAAAGCCCTACCAAAGGCTCGGTGATGCCTCAGGTGCCCCAGCAAAGCCCTGGAGGTGCTAAAACCCCTCAGACTCAAAGAGCACAGTGGGGAGCCCCTGCTCACAAGGTGGTGAGGGAACAACCCGTGCTGTGTTCCTGCAGCACAAAGCCTCTCCAGGGAGCCCAGGGTGCTGCCTGGAGCTCAGCAGAGAGGCGCTCACCCTCGGACAGCGTGCAGCAGGCGCAGCGAGGGGTAGGCAGTCCTGACGTTGATGTGGTGCTTCAGGATGAGCTCGTTCACCCACTCCACTCGCTCCTTGCCCCCCTTGGCCATGAAGGCTGGGATCCAGAGGATGCTGCCGTTGAGGCTGTGCAGGCGCTGCAGCAGCTTCTCCCTCCAGGTCTCGTTCACCAGGTCCTCGAAGGCGCGCTGGATCACCGAGGGGTTCATGGTCACCAGGTCTGTCTTCATGCCCACGTCCTGAGAGTACTCCTGCACGGGGGCCAGGTTGCACCTGCAAAGGGGAATGTCGCTGTGATGTTTTATGGAAAACCCCTTTGCCCAGGATTTTCCTCCTGAGAAGCTGAGAAGCCTCAGAGGAAAAAAAACCCCAATAATTATATGCAACAGGTGCATCTTTGATTAGTAGGTCCTTTCTCTCTATTCTTTTTAGTATAGTTTTAGTATAGCATTATCATATCATACAATAATATAATAAATCAACCTTCTGAAACATGGAGTGAAAATTCTCATCTCTTCCCTCGTCCTGAAACCCTCAAACACAGCCACAGGGGAGCACCCAGCAGCCCTGTTCAATGGACTGAGAGGGCAGTGACAGAGTTGGAGTGCCAAAAGCCAGGCTGGTGACATTGTGCCCATTCGCCCTCAGTTTTGGGAGGAAGAGGAGGGAGAATGACCCTCTGCAGTAAATTAGTGATGATGAGCCATCTCCATCTCAGGCACCATCCCTCAGCACGATGGCACGTGCACACGTGTCCCCCTGGGACCAGGCTGGTGTCAGCCACACCTGTGGTGTCTCCTGGGTGGTTTGCAGGGAGCAGGGGCTCTTCTGTAGCCTCTCAAAAATAACATTAGCAACAAAGCTCCAGTCTCTGCTCCCATGGCAGATTTTAGACAAAACAGTGTCTAAAACATTTCCCACTCAAGCAAAGCACTTGCCTCTTAATTCCAGCCCTGCTGGAGTAACATTATCCCAAAGGCCTTTTCTCCCCTGGCGAGTCTCTGCAGCAGCAGACCTGGTGGCACCATGGTGACACTGACACCAGCACGAGGGGGATGCCAGGACATGGTCTGCACAGGGTCTGGCTGTCTGGAGGCTGTGACCCTCAAAAACCACCTTATTCTGTAGAGTTCATTGGTGCCTCCTCTCAGATTGCACACGTGGGCACGGGCCATGTATCCTGAGCTCCTGTGCCACAGCAGCGTGAGGGCTGAGAGCCCATGGGACAAACTGCCAACAAGGTATAGAGTGGTTTCCTATAGCTCCCTGAGGGGGGTCATCTGTGTCTGTGCCATGCCCATGGCACAGGGCAAATGGCACCAGGAACCAGCTGATGGGGAGATGCAGAGAGATGCTCCCCCAGCATCCTAAAAACCAGAGGCTACTCATGTGTCTGCACACTGAGTGCTCTGCTGTGGTTTGACAGTGAAGTTACAGTATTTAACGAGCAGGAATTGCAGCCTAAGCATCTGCCTCAATAATCAGCCTGTTTTCCCTACTTACACATGGGGAAAATAAGGGAATGGTGGAAAGAAAATCCAGCTACCGGCATAGGGGCCCTTTACTTGACTCATCACAGGAGTGAATTCAGTAAAAATAAACATTGGACCTGTATCCTGGACACAGACCCAATCACTGGACACTGCCAACCATGCTGAAAAGGCTGCCTGGATGGAGCAAACCTTCCTCAGGAAGATGCAGGTTCCAGCAGTGGCTCAGACAACCTACAGTGGGAAGTGTGTCTGTGCCAGGCTGCACCAGCACGTGGCTGGGGAGAAAGTGCTCAAAATCCCCATCCTCACATCCAGAAAAGCTTTTCTCCAGCAATTTTGCTGCCTGACATGAATGCCCCTCACTAAACTTTGCCAGAACCACAGTAAGCAGTTTTTCCCTCACTGGTATTCCAGTTCAGGATAATGCTGTATCCCCTTGGGCAGGCTGGAGCTGCCAGCAGCCGGGCAGCTGGAGCAGCAGGGCTTGAGAGGGGGACAGAGGTGACATTATCCTCATTCCCACATCACACCAGCACCGCCTCTGTGAGCTGCTGATGGATTGGGCTGTCCTTGTAATAGACTCACCAGAAAACAAATGTCTGCATGTACATAAATCATCTGCGGATTCCACAGCCTCTCAACTAACAGGGGCATCGGGCTGGGAGGGCAGGAGCTCCTCCTCTCCACTCCAGACACCTCCAGAAGTGAATTTGGTGTGTCCCAGCGGGGCTCAGGGTGTGCTGCTGCAGGTCCCTGGGGCAGTGCAGCTGCAAGGACACCAGCACTGGGGACAGAGGGGACACAGGGGAGTGCCACACCTGGGCACACACAAGTGTGGTGCCAGGGCACTGTGTGGTGCTCGAGGGCAGAAGTGAATCAGCTTCGTCAGAGGCCCAGGGTGGGGTTTGTTTGCAAGAGGACAAACCTGAGAGAAGAGGAGGTTGGGGGGGAAAATGGTGCACTTAGAAGAACACGTGGGGAGCACCTGGAGATGCGTGGAAGGCTTTCCAGCAGAACTCATGGCTGTGAGGCCGTGCTGCCCCAGCTGAGCTGGATTCCAGCCCCTGCACTGCTCCCCAGCCCCCTTGCTGCAGGAGCAGCCCCCTCCCTACCTTATGACGAAGCTGTGGGCGTCGATCTCGGGGCCACAGCCACTGCTGAGCAGCACCCCCGAGTTGCCCACGATGGCACAGCTGGGGAACTGCTTGCCCTTGAGGGGAGAGGTGCGGGGCAGCAGCTCGTACAGGTTCTGGGACACGTTCATGGTGCTGTCCCTGTCAAAGACGTAGTGGATGATGTCCCCCGGCTTCAGCGTCCCCTTCAGCACCGAGATGTCCTTCTCTGCATCCAGGAACTTCAAGATCTGTTTTCTGAGCACAGGGAAGAGAAGAGCCTTGTCAGGTGAGGTACAGAGATAACCTGGGTCAGATGTAAGGTGAGCTCTTGCCTGCTGGCTGCCCTCACTCTCTGGCCAGTCCACCTGACCATGCTCTCCAGGCACAGATACAAAAGGTTATCTCCATCTCAATGCCTGCTCCCTCTCCACTCATCCCTGCCTGGGGCAGGCTACCACAGTCAGCCCACCATTAGTGAGGGTCCCTGAGCTGACCCAGGCAAGGTCTCCTTCCCTCTGTGACCCATCACCTGCACACACAAATTCCGCTTGGCCTGAAAAACAGGGGCTCAAGTGCTCCTTGTTTTGTTGTTGCCAGGCCAGCTGGCCTAGATGGGAATTCATTTCCAAGCAATCGTTTACAGATATGAAGCCTATCTCAGCGGGAGGTAAGTATTTTTATTTCTTCCTTGACTTCTTTAGATGATACACAATTTGCCAGCTTGCACTGGAGAGGACCAAATCTGTCTCTTGTCCTACAGGTAATTACCAGTACCTGATCTTCAAAGAGAGTGTCTGGTTGTGTCTCCATTTGGATGAGGCTGGTTTAATGTTGTGCTTAATGCTTTCATTACTTCTGTCAACAGCAGCTGGAGATGAGGAGTCATTTATTACTACTTCAGCTCTGGAGAAAAGAAAGTCAGGGAGAGGGAGACAGAATCTGTTAGCATCCCAATGGCACTTCTAATCACCATCTTCAGCTCTGGCTGCTGGAATTCAAACTTCATCAGAAAAGCAAAATTGTAGTTATTAGCTAAACAAGAAGTGAAAGCCTGTTCGTATTCTGCTGCACTCAAGCAGACAGACAGATCCTTAAATACCCGCTCGCTTCCAGGAGCACAGACTGACAGCCAGGCACAGCTCCACAGAAAACACACCATTACACACTCAGCTGCAGGGAGGCAGGCACAGAAAAACACACAGTGACAGGCTGGCAGGTGGGTGCTTGCAGACAAGACACCCCAAAGCCCCAAAATTCGCTAAGAAACTTCCGAGCCAAGGTGGCTGCTCTGTTGCCTCATGGTCACGTGTGAATATCCCAAAGTGGAGCCAGCTCATCTCCTGGAGAAGATTAAAATCCTCACCAGAGAGGAGCAACCCTCTCTTCACCCAATGGAGAAATTAATTCAGCTGAGCTGTGGGTGCTGCTTGTGTGAGCATCCTGTACTAACAGGGGCAGGCTGGCTCACTGGAAACTTTTTCCCTGCTTAGAATTGAGCACAAGGATTTCAGCACCCACATCACCTGTTCCAGACCAAGAAATGAGCAGCAGCCAGAGATCACTGGGAGACCCCAGTGTTTAATCCCTGCTCAAAGAAGCAAATCAGCCCCAGCACTTCTGTGACATTAAAATCAAACTGCATGAATTGAAGGAGCTTCCAAATATTTGGTTCCAGCCAGCTGCCCTCCAAAAAGAAAAGCCAAGCATCTCATCAAGAAGCTGCATGTGTATCTGCAAACCCAAAAAAGCCTTCACACTTCAGAGCACTCTGAAAAATACACAGCCAAAGCACTTGCTATCAGCTAAAGGGAATCTCCCTCTCCACTGCAAAGGGCTTCTTCCAGCTGGGAAATGCTTTGTAAATAAATGCATTTATAGAAAGCATGTAAACCCCAAGGAGGGAGCAGAGTGAGAGATGGGGCAGAGGTGGTGGCCCAGGCTCATGGACAAACATCCAGCTCCTGGGAACACAGCTCCAGCTCAGGGAAAGAGCTCCCCAGGACACACTGTGGCTCACACTGTATAATGTTCTGAAAAGGCAAGGAAATGTGTTTATAAATGCTGGCTGCCAGTGTCCTGATGTGTGTGTGTACAGTACCTCTCCAGAGGCTGCCAGTCTGTTGGATTTGTTTGCTTCTTGCATTTTGCTGCATCACTCATGTCTTGGAAACCTTACCTAAAAGGTGTCAAAAATTGTAACTGAAGTAGGGTAAAGCAATCCTGTTTATGACTATGTTTTTTTTGGTTTTGTCAATTTTCTGTGTTTTGGTCACGGGTGGTGACATCATCACAGAATGATATCACCCTTCCTTGCACACTGTCACAGAGCTTTTCAAATGAGCCACTTGGCAAGGCTGGGCTGACTGGGAATCTTAGTAAAAATGACAGAGAGAGACACTGAATGTGGCTGGGATGCCAGGGAATGTTATGGGAGTGCACTGCAACAAAACTGGAGCTCTGATCCCAGACACAGTGATCGCTCCTCTAATAGCACTTAAAACTATGGAAAATAGCAACTCTATCACTGACTTATTTTCACAATAAGTAAACTCTTTCTCATTGTCTCAATCACCACAACTTCCAGATCCATGGTTATTTACAAATGATTATTGCACTGAGCTGGAAGAAGGAGGGGGGGAAATGATTAAGAAAATGCAAAGCAGAAGTGAAAAGGAACAGATACATTTGCTAAATAAGAACAGCACTATCCAGTGAAGAGGAGAAGCAGATTAATAGCTGCCTTACAGCAAAAACAAATGAACACAAAATCTAATTTACAAACCTATTAGATTTGCTATGTAAGCTGTTCACAGCTGATCTGATTGTACCTCTGCCTCCAGAACTCCTGCAAGACAAAGGAAATGCATTATTTATAATTCCAGCTCCTTTCTGCCAAGCATTGTTCAACAGTCAGGAGATCCTGCTCTGAAGGGCTCCGAGCAGAGACACGGCCACGCCGTGCGTGTCCCACCCCATCCAGAAGGGAGATGTCCTGATGCCTCTGAAGGGCTTTTCACCCCTTGTCATCTCTGCCCTGCTGTGACTGTGAAGCCATTCTGGCAAAGAATGCCCCGAGCCACCCCAATTAATAATCCCTGTGTGATCTAACCAGCCATCACACACACCTGGTCCTGCTGCCACAGCACAGTGTGCCCTACAGCTGCACCAAATACATCTCCACTTCTCTTTACCAGCCAGGTGTTACCAGTGCACACAGAAGCTCTCCTCCATCTCCAGGCTGCCAATGGACTTGCCCTGTCCTTTTCAGGTAGGGACTGAATGATCTGGACAGATCCCAGCACTGTCTTCACCTGGGCTTTTAGTGGAGAACATCCAATATTTCTATTTTACACAGACTGAATGACCAGCCTCCTTGGCTTGTGGAGACCTCACACTCTCAGTGTGCCTTCTCCCAGCTCCCAGGGACCCAGGCCAGACCCAGAGCTCCACTCCAATCCTGTGAGTGCCTTCAAGGCCCTTCTCCCCACCTTTGGTGTAACTGGGCTGAAGCTGCAAGGCCAACTCACCACAGTCATTCACAGGCTGGAGCTGAGACCTGAAGTGACAGCAGTGTCACCCCCGTGGCCTGACACCACCACACAAGGACAGAGTCAGACCAGTCTGACCAAGACCTGTGGGAATGAGCAGCCAAAGTTTCCAGCACCTCCATGAAGCTCTACTGAAGAACAGGTTGGACCAAGCCCCTTCAGAGAACCACACCATTCACATGAGCTCTGAAACCTCATTTAAAAACATACAAGTACTGGTCTGCATCTAGCTGGCTGCAGAGCTCCTTCTTCTTTTAGCTGGCTGTTTTCAGAGGGGTCACAAAGAACAAGCCACCCACCTTGTGATGCTCAAGGGAGCTGGGCTCCCATTCAGACACATTTTAACTGCCATGTACTCATTGCTCTGTTTTATTGTTCCTGTTGCACAGATATCCCAATGAGCACGCTCATAAAGAGAACCAAATTCTCTTCCAGCAGAAATATTGCTACCCAGAAATATACACCTTAATGAAAATGTACCTCAGGAGAATGTATTTCTACCAGTTCTGAAAAAAATCCCAAATGCATTAGACAAAAATGAAAGAGAAAAAGCGTGCGTGAGTGTGCTTGGTGCCATTAAAAAGGATTTTCAGACTTGCAGGATGCCACATAAATCCCCTCATTAGGCTGAGCACAGCCCTCAGCACCACGTAACATCAAACCCTTGGAAATGTCACGATGGTTTTCCCTTTCCCCCCTCCTGCCAGAGACCATCCATGGCCAAGTCAGAGCGAATCCTGCTCTCCTCTGTCCTCTGACAGACCCGAGAGCCTGCGAGCTGCTTCATTTTTTGGTGCATCAAGGGAACAGCAGGGCTGGCTCATTCCTGGAGCCTAGTGGCATTTAACAAGCCTCCCCATTAATGGGGTTCACGGCGGGGTGTGGGAGCAGGCTGGATTAGTGTGCAAACCACGCACCTGCTCAGAGGCGGCTCCTCTGAAGGAGCTTCCAAATGGGATTCACACTCCTTCACACTCGCTGTAGGACAGACAAAGCTTACAGAAAGAAATGGGTTTTTTTTACCCTGAATACATGCTGGTTCACATGTGAAAGGAAAAAAAGGTAAATTAGGAAGTAGAGAAGACAGTTCCCTAGGTGTCAGTTCCTACCTCATCCATGTTTTGTGGCTACAGCAGGAAGGATTCAGAGCATCACAACGTGTTATTCAAATGCATTTATCCAGTCTGGCTTTACATGCCCCCACTGACAGGTCTGCGTTGTTCCTCCTGGAACTGAGGCAGCTGTAGGGGCTGGGGATGCTGGATGTGAGGAGGACAAGTTGAGAGCACCTCTGCCTGTGTTCAGAGGTGGGGAGGGGCACTGGATGCCAGCTGAGAACCCCCTCCAGGACAGAGGCAGGGGTTACTCTCTCCTCCTCAAACACTGTGAAAAGCAAAAATATTGCAATGCAGACAGAGGCACAATGGGTTCTGCTGGAATAAATGAACAGGGAGGGGGCAGCTTAGTGGTGGAGGAGAGCAGGGCTCTGCTAACCATCTTCCCATGGCTCTGGGGTCACTGCTCTGCTGGCCAGCAGACACGATGCTCTCGTGGACACCTGAGATGCTGGCCAGGACACTGCTGCCTGGGCCAGGCTTGGCTTCTCTCTCCAAGACAGAGAGACAGGATACTTGGCTGAAGGTCTGAGCTGGCTTAGTGGATCTTAAAATGCTCAGAACTGTGAATCCTTTGGTGCTTTGTGTGCCACACTACAACTTGAGGACGCTTTCCCTACAATCTCCCTTTGTACAGTGGAAGGCAAAGTGCTGTAGGATGCTGTGGGGTGTGTGGCCCTGTCCAGCCACCCTGCTCAGCTCAGCCCACTGGTGGGTCCCAGACAGAAAAACCAGCTGCTCAAAACACCAGAAACTGAGCCCAGCACAGTATTCTCCAAAGTCTGCCTTAGTTCTGTACCAACACAGGCAAGCCAGTACCTGTATGCCTTCATTTCCCCCACCTGGGAAGAGAAAAACATTTAGAAATGGAGGGTACTAATTAGGAAGCACATGTTCAAAAAAACCAAAAAAAACACCACAAAAAAAACCCAAAAACCCCAGTCCATTTTATTACACTGTCCTGACCTGGAGTTTCAAATCTCTTTGCTTCAAAAGGCAAAGACCAGCAAAAAAAAAAACACAACCAAAAAAACCCCCAAAAACCCCAGTCCATTTTATTACACCGTCCTGACCTGGAGTTTCAAATCTGTTTGCTTCAAAAGGCAAAGACCAGCCTCGATTAAAATAGCACAGATAGCATTGATTTTGAAAAGCTTTCTAGTGCTACACTGTGTTGGGACTGAATTGCCTTATTAATCTAGTTGTTATCAGTTTCATTGTATAGCCAGCTCTACAAAGTACCAACCTGCTTCCTAATCCTATTATTTACAAAACATTTTTCTTTGGGCTTCTGTTGGGATGTTTTCAAGTGATAAGTTGCATCTATATGTGCTAATGCCATCTTACTGACTTATGCCATCTTTTCTCATTTTCGCTGAGATTTTCAAGCTGCATTGCCACTATCTTAGATATTATATAGGTCAAAACGTTCTGTGCTCAGATGTAAAGTGACACTGATTCATATATCAGAGGATATAAAAGAAAAATTGTCATATGGTTCAGGTCATAATTTTCTTGGATGAATAATTTGCAACAAATCAGGTATGCAAAGACTCCTCTATTCACCCTCCTGAGAACGGGCCTGTTTAGGGTTTTTATTTCCCTTTTGATCGTTTCCAGCTTCTTAAATGCTTCTCTTAATTGTTGCTAGGTAAGTTTGGTCTCGCTTGGAGCCGCCTGGACACGTGAAATCAAAGCTGCTTTGACTGAACAAGTAGGTCACAGAGCCTCGTTGGGAGAGCAGATCTCTACGAGCAGACTCCACGTGTCCACGATCCCAGGCTCCCAAACTGGAAAATGTGTTTTCCATGGCTATTTTACAATGCCCACCCCCAGTCCTGCTTCCCCCAGCATTTATGGCAGGGGATACCCATGGGAAGAGGGCAAAGAGAAAGGAACCAAATAGAAATTTCAGCCACACCCAACCACCCATTTCACAGCTCACAGAATGATTTGGGCTGGAAAGGACTTTAAAGATCATCTTGTTCCAACCCTCCTGCATTTAACCACATTTGTGAAGCTCATTCCTGGTGGAACAAAACCTCTGCCTCTTCCTGACCTTGGGCAACCCAAGTCCTCCTCTTCTCCCTCCTCCACATAAAAGTTAGATAATAGTCCCTTGGGGGATTATTAAACTGAATTCATCCACCTGAATTCCCCAGGAAGAGACTCCAGAGTGCCATGATTTTTACCTGAGGGGTTCAAAAGACTAACACCTACTAATTAGGTTTTCACAACCTGCTTTTACGTTAGGTGCATTTTATGATCCTTGTTTTACAGCTGGGACACTGGCGGTGAAGTGGCTTGGCCCTTAACACCAAAAAATGAGTTCCACAAGCCAGGATTAGGCACTGTGAGCTTCCAGCAGACCTGTCCTCTTGAAAACGCTGCTCTTTACTTGCTGGGTGTGGCTCTTGCTGGGTGAGAGGGCCCAGAGGACCACAGGAACTGATCTGCAAAGGTTTCACTGGCCCAAAAAGCAGAGGCAGCCAACAGCCTCCTGAGATGGCTGTGCCCATTCAGGCAGTCTGTATCTATTCAAAAAAAAGAAAAAAAATCACCACCTATATTTACTTTGCTTTTTAAGGACTGCTCTGTTTTCCTCAAGACCAGAACTACTATTTTCTATCTGAAGAGCTCACAAGCATGATGCCAGGCCTGCCTGGAGACCACCACAATCCCTGTCCTCCCAACCCAGGGGCTTTCCCTGAGGCAGCCAAGTGTGGAGGGGATGGGGAGTGGGATGTTCACAGCCCCTCTGAAGGCTCCTGTGGTGTGGCCAGAGATCCAGTCACCATAAATAACAGTTCTGGGGGAAAGGATGCACTGCCCAGCCACTGGAAATGAAGGATACAGATGGCCCTCCTCCTCACAAATTTCAGAGATTTGCTCCTGCTGATGCTCACAGTGCTGTGAAATGTGGATCAGCACACAGGCTTCAACCCTTCTTTCCCCTTCCCTGAAATTCAGGGTTTGTGTTGAGAGCAGCAGGACAGCACATGCACTCCAGGGCTTTTGGGGGAAAAATTGCCACATTTCCAAGTGGTCTATGAAAGAGAAATAATTGGCTTCCAAATGCCAACCTGTCCAGCCCTACCCTGCAGGGTGGACAAGCAAAGGTGTCCCAGGAGCCAAAAGTGAGAAGAAACTGAGCCTAGAATCCAACCTGGATTCCTCAGAGA